ACAATCTTTCAGTTGCTCTACCTTCTTATTGCACAATAATTACATCTAACTATCTATCTATCTATCTATCTATCTATCTATCATCTATCTATCTATCATCTATCTATCTATCATCTATCTATCTATCTATCTATCTATCTATCTATCTATCTATCATCTATCTATCTATCTATCTATCTCTGTGATCAGAACTGAACAGTGATCCAATCATTTAGTAACTTATTAAAATGATATTCCTAAGTAAAGAAAGAAATCCAGGAGCTTGGATGGTCGTTTGAGTATAGCTTCAAAAAGAGTAAGGAGAGCCTTTTGTGTCCTAAATAGAAACCAAGAAGAGAGGATCCTCACTGGAGACAAATCCCATCTCTGTCTTCAGCAAGTACTTTATCACAACGCATGGCTGTCATTTCACAGATTTAAAGATGTTTTTCACTGGAAAAAAATGTATAATTATTTCTGATTATAATCAGTCACTCTGAGTTTTTCATGCAGGCTGGACATGAAAATAGTCTCTTGCACCTCACACATCTCCTGCATAGCTTCTGATAGACAGCGTGACACACTGCTGTCAATTCACTTTGATGGACTCATCCATCTTGACTCGTGATGGGGAAGGCTGTTGTTGGTTTAATGCCCAGGAACCAGAAGAGAACATCTCGGCTAGTATAAGCTAACTGTTAGCATTAGCAACTTCACCATACAGCAGAACTCCTTCAAGCTTTTGTTATTTGTAGAGATAAAACATCAACGTTGCAGAGAAAATGGAGTCAGTGTCACGTTGCTCTAATCCAATCAGAGGTGAGATGCCCAAATATCTGGAAATAAGCCTCCAAATCCTCAAATGATCTGGCAATTAAGCTTGGGCAGTATTACGATATTACCGTATACAGCCGGTGCTAAAAAATAGCAACGGTGTCAGTTCCATTACAGTCATGAAAAAAAAAAATTTGAGCGTAGGAGACATGGAAAAAAAAATAAAAACGATAAATAAAAGTCATTTATTATATAGAACATGTGCGTGGTTGAATTTTCAGTTTTACTTAAATAGATTAAAACATTTCATCCAACTTTTCGTTGAATAAAGTTTATGAACGTGACATCATCACGTGACAACACGTATGAGATGCACCGAGAGAGACGGAGCAAAATGTCAACTCGTGTACCAAGTGCCTTGTACCCGGAGTACAACTTACAAAGCATTCATCACTACTAGAAGGGCGACGGTGGCACAGGAGTTAAGTGCTCGCCCCGTAATCGGAAGGTTGCAGGTTCGAGCCCCGCTCAGTCTGTCACTGTCGTTGTGTCCTTGGGCAAGACACTTAACCCATGTTGCCTGCTGGTGGTGGTCGGAGGGACCGGTGACGCCAGTGCTCGGCAGCCTCGCCTCTGTCAGTGCGCCCCAGGGCAGCTGTGGCTACATTGTAGCTCATCCCCACCAGTGTGTGAATGTGTGTGTGAATGGGTGAATGACTGATTGTGTTGTAAAGCGCCTTGGGGGGTTCTAGGACTCTAGAAGGCGCTATATCAAATAAAGGCCATTTACCATTTACTAGAGACAACTGCAAATGTCTTGATTCAACGAGTGAAACACATCTTTAACAATTCAAATACCTGCCACAATAGATGGCTGCGGTTACTTGCCTCACCTAATCTTGGTCCACTGGAGGGGTTAACCTCATCAGGTTGATTACATTAGGTATGGGTTGGGTGTGCTCTTTGCCTCATCAAAGCTGCTTTTAAAAGCTGAGTCATTCTGATTCCTCAACTTGAACTGGTTGATCTCATATAACAATAATATTTTTTCTCATTAATAAAAAACCGCTCATCTTATTTATTCATTGTAAAGATAGCATCTCATCTAACTGCTCCTTTATGTCGGTCTTGGCCCATTACCCCCACCATCTCCTCCATTATCAGAATGAAGCTCTTCGTCACGGCAACAAAGCTCGTATATACACCTTAGGGATGCCTGTTTGATAACTTGTCTTCCTGGATTAAATGGATGGGTTAGCGAGGTCGACTTGTGCCCTGTCTGGAGAGAAGTGGGAATGAGGTTTCAAGCTGGCACACCGGTGGTAGGAATACTTCAAACCGTGGGCGAACGAGAGAATGAGTGAGCAGGTTAAAGAGGGAGACACCCGTGGGAGGCCTGTAGGGGGTGGGAAGTGCGGAGAGATTGAGTAGTGAGGGAGTGAAAAGGCCTTGATATCCACAGAAAGTACAACAAAGACAGAGCTTTTTACATTAAAAAGAAAGGAGATCGCCTTTTTTCTACAAGACGCCTTTCGAGCCGAGTGTCATGTCCTTCCTTGGCCCGCAGGAAGTCAGAGGCTGAGCTCGGCTATAGCATTTGGCACTTCTGATACACATCTGAGGGGGCTGAAGTTCTTGCCTTCTGAACACTAAATGTAAGCCTGTAAGGTGGGTGTTCCTAGTTAAGCGTACACAGAACAAGCCACACCACATACAGAGGCACAGAAGTGATAATTGCTAACAAACAAGGGAGTCAAAGTTAAGAGAAAGCCAGGAGGCCTCAACACACAAGTAATGTGTGCATTTTCTCAGATGTTGTCATTTTTTTTGGGGGGGGGGGGGGGGGGTACTGTGCATGCAAGGTTAGGCATGAAGGAATGCTAAGAAACAGAATTTCCCGCAGATGCTCCAAAGATAGGAGATTAAAAACTGCTAGCAATCAGAATTAGCTCTAATATCGTCCACAGCAGGTGTTCACTGCTTGATGATTAAGCATGGTAAGTGAGGGAAGAAGAAAAGGTAAAGATTAATCATCAGCCAATTAAATGCCCAGGGTGAGGAAAGCAACCCGTTTTGGCACAGAGAACTCCTCCGTCATCTCAGTTAGCATTTCTCAGCTCTGCACTCAGATCACTGGAACACAAGTTCTCCGTCTAAATGGCTTTTTTACATTTTTATATGTCTGTGAAACAGTGAGTTTTGGAATATTAATTCACTTTCAACTTTTAGATAAACTATCTTAGACACCAGGCAAGGGTTAAAAATAAGGGTGTAAATAAACAGAATTTGTACTTTGATTATATTTGTATGTGTTCTTGCCCACATGAGCTGCTGTTTGATAGTTTTACATCAAGATGGTTGAGACAAGCTTAGAAATCTAGACCAACCGTAGAAGCAGCAAACAGATTTAGCTCTGCAGGTTGGTCTAGCCATGCTGTGCTGTGGCCTCAGCAGGTCTGCCACTGGACTGAACAGTTTGTCTCTTGTCAATCACAGCACTCTATGTTTGTTGGGAGGGCTTTGCACCAGAGCTGCAATGGAGAAAAACAACAAAGATGGCATCAGCCCAGGAATAGCGCTCATTTGAAAAGGCTTTGGCATCAGCTGAATTATGCAGCAGTGCTGTTTTAGGCGGGCATCTCAGTCTTAAGACTCTTTTAGAAAACAATGATGCCAATTTGCCACAACACCGTGGCGGCATCAGAGAGCATTAGTTTGTTTATAAGTGCATAGACCGTGATGGTAATGTTGCACAATAGTGTCCTTTTTACCAAAGATAAGGTGATGGCGGTATAAAGGGGGTATGGGGGCAGTCACTGTGCTGCTGCAGACTTCCGTTTATTGAAGACATAACATGCTTTTTATTGTGATCCACTCTTAAAGGTGCCTGTCCTCCAAAGTCCCCGTGCAGTCTCTGGTGATCTGAGCTCCAGCTCCAATGGAGAACAGCTCTAGGAGTGCTGTATTGCCAGTTTGCCGTCTCAGCTGATTCTGATTACAAAAGCAAAACTTATGGTCGTGTTTACTTTCATTTTTAATATATCTCCCACCCGGGGCTCGGCAGTAACTCCCCACGTGATCATGACACCTCCCTCTGTTGCATCAATGCATAATATGCATTCACAAGTCCAGCGTTGAGGTAATATCACTACCAAGCGTGGCAGCACGAATGGCACAACATTCTTGCATAGCCATGTCGCTGTAAGTAGTGGATGTCTAACGCTATTGGCTAATGTTGAGGGGCACTCAATTCAAATTTCATGGGTCTCTACGGGGCGGAGGGCAAGTTTAGCAAATAAATAAATGGGTTATTGCCTAATATATGACAGAACAGGGTAAGTCCATCACTTTTACAGATTTCTAAAAATTATGCCCAATTCCAAAATGGGGAAAAAACTCCAGTTTGCTGGTTTAGCACATTTAGAAATTCACTGTAAATTATATCCAATTAGTGTCACATGTTGGGACATAAATCACAACCTAACTGGTTCATGAAGGGTCAGGCGGGGTACTCCGGAGCTCAGGGCCAGCGGTGGGTTTTGTGTGTTTTTGTGAGTTTGAGTGCAACTAATGTGACAACAGAAAACAAACAAACAAAATAAACAAAAAGTTGAAAATTATTTTAGCAATGTGAGGGTTATATAAATAACCAAAACACGTCTCGACTTTTTTAGAAAAACTGAGGGAAATAAAAAAGGAAATGAAGTAAACATGCATTCATTTGAGCTGGATAATCACTTAGTTCAAAACTAGTATTGATCAAGTGAAGTATCCTGAGCAACACTGAGTAAACACAGAGTAAAAACAAGTGACCCAAAAGACTGGACTGTTCATAAAGCTTTGACAGAGTTTTGAAATAAAGTTAAAAAAATAAATAAATAAATAAATAGGGATTTATGAATTACTAAACAAGGCCAGATTCTGGAGCTGAAACACAAACATGCACAACCTGCTCTCAATGGACACTGCTCACAAGTTCAAATATAAACTGTGAATTAACCTCTGTGGATGCACTACTGAGCTTCAGTGCTGGACTGTTTATGTGGGTAAAAACGAGTGCACTTAGAGTTTGGTTTGGGTTGTCTATAAACCACATTGGGTTTGACTGCAGCAACTTTTAACAAGGCTTGCATGTATATTTATTCCTTTGAAGAAATGTTGTGAAATAAAGTTGCATAATAACACTTAATGGTTATTAACAAACATCTATTTCCTTTATAAAGTGATGCTATTCGTGTTGTACTTACAAAGTCTTTCTCCAGCTTCTCCACTTCCTGCTTGTAGCTCTTCAGCCTGCTGTTGTACATGGCTCGGCTCTGGGCGGGGATCTCTCGCACCTCCAAATCCATCTGCTCCAGCTGAAAACCACCAGTGATGCACTTTATTTGTGGGCAAAACATTTCCAAGGTTCATTCCTACAGTTTTCAATCAATTTTTAGCAATACACATTAACCTGGCATGAATTTTAAACGTAAAATCGACTGACTTATCACTCAGAAAACGTACAGTTTTCATGTTAAGATGCAACAAAAATATAACAAAGTTCCTCTTTTTTTGTGTGACTCACAAAGTTACCAGCTATGACAATAAACATGTTTATGGCAAACACTTCAATTAGGCAAATAAAAAAATATGAAACATTTAAAAAGAGCAGCATTAACTTGGTTTTGTTTGTAAAAAAAATAAAAATGCCACCTGCTTACGTCACTCAGCTGTGATAAAAGCACCAACAGAGTAAGGTGGTTCTGTAAATAAATACACCATCAAATGCGAGACCCCCCCCCCCCCCCCTGTTTTTTTTAAATTGCAGTGACATGAATGGGCCCAACAAAACTGTCACAGTGGATGAGGAAAAGGTACATTTGATGTATCGGGACGACAGAACTCATCTTGGCAGATTTGGAGGAAACTAATCACCGCGGCATAACAAGACAACCGCAAAAACAATTTGTCTCTATCTGGTGACTGCTTTTTTTTTTTAAACAGCAACATGAAGTCTTCCACCTCAAGATAATGGCTTGAAATGTGTCATAGGGGTGTCACTTAAAAGCAGATTACTGGGAAGTAATCGTGTGAGGAGGAAGCCTCCTTTCCCGCCACGTGAAGTGCGTGCATGTCTGCATGTCATGTCACCGCCTGGATAATACAGGTGCTGCTGTCTGGTGCCGGTGAAAACTGTCCCCTCCCCCTCCCACAAATTCATAATTTAGGCAATGGGACGAGGAGAAAATTACTGATCAAAGACATACCAACTCTCTGACTTCTTCAAGCTGTTTGTCAACATTTAGAACCAGCTGTGTCTTCTCCTCTGAAAGAGAAAAAAACAGAAACATATTGATCAGCCGGCGGAGGGAACAGCGCTTCATGACAACAGCCTGACTCCCACACAACAGTGGAAGAGATGGCGGGGGGAGAGAAAGAAAAAGACATTGGGAGAGAACAACACACGAGGACACATTTGAAGATATATTTACACATTCTCTCCACACAACGAGCCAACATTTGATGTGTCTTAGTAATGGCGTGTATGAGGCCTTTGTTGGTTTCTGCTGAGGAGCTGTGAGACACCTCATGCCAACTCAAAGGGAAGGGAGGTGTCAGCTTTGCTCACTTGCCAGAAGGATGAGTCCCTCTCAGAATGACTAACACACTGTTCTACACCTCACCCCATGACTGCTCTACCACATTACCCAAAGAAACTCATTAGGACGTCAACTTCCAAAGCTATAGTACCTTCAACAGTCATTTACAGCCACAGCGCCAAACGCTCGCTATGCGTGCTGAATTGGTCTTTGCTCTAAAATTAGCTCTTGTCACGAACTCCTCCAGCTGACTGCATTCCATTCATTCCTGCCACCAACGTGGCGACTGACGTCATCACGCCGGCACTACTTAAGGAAGTGCCGGCGTTTCATTCATTGCTCAGTCATCGTTTCTCACCAGACTTTGTATCGAGTCTCCAGGCTTACCAGCCCTCAAAACACTCATACTACACCTACAGGAGATAACCACGCCGGCTATCTCCGTCTCTCCGCGTCTGGGCAACAGAACTCTCAGTCACGCTTCAGATCTGCCAACGAACCTGACAGGATGACTGAGCCCCAAGTTGACCCAGCGGAGTTCGCGCGTTTGCGTGCCGAAGTGGCTCAACAGCGCGCAATCTTGGATCAGCAGACGGCAGACATGAACCAGCTCCGTGCCATAGCTGATCGCCAAGCCACAAAGATTGAGTCACTCACCGAGCTAGTACTCCAGCTGACCACCGCTCTGCAACGTCAGACCGCAGCTGTTCCTGACAGGATGGAACCACGCCTCAGCCTTCCAGAGAAGTGGGACGGAACCAGGGGATCCCCGGAGGGCATGTTGGCGACCCTGGCCATGACTTTCGAGTGCCAGCCGGCACGCTACCCCACATCCTGCTCTCGTGTCGCCCTGCTGACCTCACTGCTGACAGGTCGAGCCGGTGAATGGGCGGCGGCTCTTTACAATCAAAAATCTCCTGCCTGCAATGACTATGAGACTTTTGTAAAGGAGATGAAAAAGACTTTTGTGCACCCCAGCAGCGAGGTCTCGGACGAGACGCGGCTGCTTCAGCTTCGCCAGGGCTCCCAGACGGCGGCTCAGTACACCTCTCGCTTCCGGACGACAGCAGCTCGGTTGAGGTGGGATGACGCCGCCCTAAAGGCCGTTTACCTGGAGGGACTGTCACCGAGAATCCGGGAGGGCATGATCGGGCACGAGGTCCCAACCTCCCTGGACCTGGCAGTGGATCTGGCTCTCCAACTGGACCGCTGCATCCTGAACCGGCCGAGCACCATGTCAGCCCCCGTACACACCAGGACGTCACCCCGCCTGCCGGCTCACCAACCGACGGAGGAGCCGATGCAGCTGGGACATCTTCCCCCTGAGGAACGGGCACGGCGCTACCAGGAGGGAAGATGCGCTTACTGTGGGGATTTGGGTCACCACCGTGGCACGTGCCCAAAACGACCGGGAAAAGGTCCCTCCGGGTCGGAGTAGGAGCTGTCCCGCCCGGAGTCTCCACTTTTCCGGCTCCACACCGAACCACTCTCCCGGTCTCCCTCCACCTGGACCAAGGCCCGACCAGACTGGAGGCACTTTTAGACACTGGGGCTGCGGAGTGTTTTATCGATCACGGACTGGTTACTCGGCTCAATATACCCCTCACCGCCCTCGACCGACCCATTCCCGTGACCTCTGTGGACGGCCGGCCCATCATGCCGTACCCTCTCACCCACCGAACTCAGGGTCTCCACATGACTATTGACCAACACCGAGAGACCCTCCACTTCCTGGTCATCCAGGCTCCGGCTACGCCTCTCATCCTAGGTCATTCCTGGTTCTGCCGCCATGAGCCTCACATCTCCTGGTCCACCAGTAAAGTCCTGGCCTGGGGCACGGGTTGCCATAACCACCGGGACTCCCCTGCACCTCGGGCAGCAGCAGCTCCTCCCAAAGACGTAGACCTGACGCTCGTCCCTCCTCAATACCACGACCTCGCTCAGGTCTTCGCTAAAGAACCCACTACCAGGTTACCTCCTCACCGACCCTACGACCTGGAGATCAGGCTCCAGCCCGGCACCACCCCCCCTCGGGGTCGCCTGTTCTCCCTCTCTCCGGCGGAAACCCGGGCTATGGACAATTACATAACTGATGCCCTGCAGAAGGGATTCATCCGTCCCTCAACGTCCCCCGGGGCCGCAGGGTTTTTCTTTGTTAAGAAGAAGGAGGGGGATCTCCGGCCCTGCATAGACTATCGAGGGTTAAATAGAAGAACGATCCGGGACCGTCACCCTCTCCCTCTCATGGGCACCGCTCTGGACGCCATCACACAAGCCGCAGTGTTCACTAAACTGGATCTGCGCAGCGCCTATAACCTCATCCGTATTAAGGAAGGTGAGGAGTGGAAGACCGCTTTTATCACGCCCACTGGCCACTATGAATATCTGGTGATGCCTTTTGGACTCTGCAACAGCCCCGCCGTCTTCCAGCGGTTCATTACAGATGTGCTGAGAGACATGTTGGGTCGCTGGGTCTTTGTGTATCTAGATGACATCCTCATCTACTCCCGCACGGCCGAAGAGCACATCCGTCATGTTCGAGCTGTTCTGTCCCGCCTCCTGGATCATGGACTGTACTGCAAACTGGAGAAGTGTGCGTTTCACCAGGAGTCCACCTCCTTCCTGGGTTTTACCATCTCCTCCCAGGGCCTGAAGATGGACCCCCAGAAGGTTCAGGCCGTAGCTCAGTGGCCTCTACCCACGACCCTGAAGCAGCTGCAAAGCTTCCTGGGTTTCTCGAACTTTTACCGGAGGTTTATACGCAACTTCAGTTCCCTCGCAGCACCTCTGACCTCACTCACCAAAACCACCAATCAGCCTCGCCCTTTTCGCCTTACTCCAGAGGCTGTCAGTGCTTTCCATGAGCTGGTCGGACGTTTCACTAAAGAACCCATTCTCCTCCACCCGGACCAGACCCGGCCCTTCGTCGTGGAGGTGGACGCCTCAGATGTGGGAGCGGGGGCCGTTCTCTCGCAACGGGGTCCGGACTCTAAGCTCCACCCATGTGCCTACTTCTCCCGGAAGTTTTCCCCCACACAGCAGAACTACGGGGTCGGCGACAGAGAGCTGCTGGCAATAAAGTGGGCACTGGAGGAATGGAGGCAGTGGCTCCTGGGGACCACCGATCCCTTTCTGATCTGGACCGACCACCAGAATCTCATTCATCTACAGACTGCCCGCCAGCTCAACCCTCGTCAGGCTCGGTGGGCCCTCTTTTTCGAGCCGTACCACTTCCATATCGCCTACCGGCCCGGCTCCAAGAACCTCAAGGCGGACGCTCTCTCTCGGCGTTTCGCACCAGATGCCGGCCCCCCGGAGCCTCGGACCATTCTACCGGCTCAACGCTTCCTGGCCTCCCTCCAATGGCCGTTGGAGCAGTCCATACAGGCGGCACTTCCTGGCGATCCAGCGCCGCCGGAGACCCCACCGAACCGCCTCTACGTTCCCGCCTCCTGCCGGCAAGAGGCGCTCACGTGGGGGCACTGTTCACGGCTCGCGGGACATCAAGGGCAAGCCCGTACCCTCCAGTTCCTCCGTCGGGCTCTCTGGTGGCCGTCCATGAGGAGGGACGTCCGCGAGTTCACAGCTGCATGTGATGTGTGTGCTCGATCCAAGTCCTCCAACCGACCCGGCGCTGGAGAGTTGCAGCCTCTCCCTGTGCCCAAGCGGCCGTGGTCACACATCGGGCTGGACTTTGTCACGGGACTGCCGGCGGTCGACCACCTGGACACTATAATGACTATCACGGACCGTTTCTCCAAGGCCGTGCACTTAGTGGCCCTGGCCGGCCTCCCCACGGCCAAGAGGACGGCCGAACTGCTCCTGGAACAGGTGGTGCGGCTCCATGGTTTCCCTCAGGACGTGGTTTCCGACCGAGGACCCCAGTTCGTCTCACGCTTCTGGAAAGCGTTCTGTCGCCTGGTCGGTGCTTCCACCAGTCTGTCCTCTGGATACCATCCGCAGACAAACGGTCAAACAGAGAGAGCTAACCAGCAGCTTGGACGCTACCTGCGCTGCTTCGCTTCGTCCCAGCCGACCACCTGGCCCCGCTTTCTCCTGTGGGCGGAGCTGTCACACAACCTCCAGACCTCCTCTGCCACGAGTCTGTCTCCCTTCGAGACCTGTTACGGTTATCAGCCACCTCTGTTTGATCATCAGGTGCCCGAGGTGGAGGTCCCTGCTGCCCAGACGCTGGTCCGCCGCTGTCGGCTCGCCTGGATCCGGGCCCGTGCGGCCATCACCCGGGCCAACACGGAGTATGCCCGTCAGCATCGCCGCCGCCACCGGCCTGGCCCCGTCTTCCGGTCTGGCGACCAGGTGTGGCTCTCCTCCGCTAACCTGAGGATTCCGGCTGGCTCCCGGAAGCTCACTCCTCGCTTCCTGGGTCCGTTCCCCGTCCTTAAGGTCATCAATCCTGTCACCTGCCGTCTGCGCCTCCCGGCTACTCTCCGGATCCACCCGGTCTTTCACGTCTCCCAGCTTAAGCCGGTGATCTCCTCTCCTCTCCACCCTCCACCGGTCCGGGTGCCTCCGCCCCGCGGTGTTGAGGCGGATCGCACCTACACGGTCCGCAGGATTCTGGACGCTCGCCGCCGGGGACGAGGTTGGCAGTACCTCGTGGATTGGGAGGGGTACGGGCCTGAGGAACGCTCTTGGGAGCCCACGAGCTCGTTTGTCGACCCTACCCTGCTGACTGACTTCTGGGCCCGCCGTCCTGGGACTTCGG